CAGCGTTTCCAAATCCTCTTCCTTTCTCTCTCTCTCTCTCTCTCTCTCTCTCTCTGTTGTTGTTGTTGTTGTAGTTGTTTTTGCTGTCACTTTCTTTAGGGGTCCTTTCGCCACCTCCAACAGATATGACTTTTTCTTTTTCTTTTCCAACTCTTTGCTGCTTAAAGGCTCTGCCTGGATGAACAGCCCTTCCTGAGCAGAGTTGGCACCCGGTACTTACATTATAAATAATGTTGGCTCCTCTCCCTGCTCCCTCCCTTCCCTGCATGGAGCAGAGTTGGCTTGATTACTGAATATGCCCTATTTAATACCACCTAGACAATGAGACACCTCCAGCCCGTTTAGCAGAAGCTTTCAACGATACTTACGTTTTAAAAGTTGAAATGAATAGTTTTTCCCCTTCGTAAGTTGTCAGCTTCTCCGTGAGATTCTGATCTGTCCTAATGGGAAACCTCTGCTTTGAATACATTCGCTGCGCAGCATATGAACATACTGTACTAAAGGAAGGTCTGAGAGTTAACGTGCTTTTTATACGCCCACTGAATGATTCCTCTTACAGAGCTGTGCCGGCAGCAGCCACTTTACAAAATCTTGTGTGTTGTGGTTTCAAGATTCCTCATGTTTGTTCTTCTAACATTTACAATAAAACAATTATTGCTGTTAATTTAAACAACAACCAGAGAGCCCGAGTTCTTTAAACAGAGTCAAGAAGAGCTGGATCTGTCTAATCCTTGGAGCTGGTGAATCCCAGGCTTGCAGTAATTGAATACAACAGGCCGTGCCAACCTGGTTAGTAAACTAAGTACTTAGACTGACAAGCTGTAAACACGTTCAAAACAGCCGTGGCTCTGGGCCAGTGTACGCACGCTCTCTAATATCTTCAGCACTTTTAACCACTCAGACTGGCTTTGATTCAGCTTGCAAGATTGCCCTTATGACCGTGACTCAATCTTTTGGTTTTTAAGTCCTTGGGAGAGTGAGAAGCACCACTCAATTAAGGAGAAAACAGTAGTATGTTAATCGTATGAGACACCTTTCCTTTATAGTCAGGGCCACTTTTCTCCATCTTTTTTTTCTTTCTTTTTCTTCCTTCCTTTCTTTCTTTTTCTTCTGTCCTTCTATCCTTCCTTTCTCTCTGTCTGTCTTTTCAGCAGAGAACTGATTTCTTGTCTGGGGCCTCGTGGCTCCTGTGACCAACAGGAATGTTCTGGCTGCTGCCTTGAGATGGTCTTGCAAGATCGATTTATTCCGAAACATGTAGGTAAAGAGGTAGCCATAAGAAAGGAAGGGCAGTGGAGAAGGGCTAGAAATAGGTGCTAGGATCAAAGAGGCAGGGATGGAGTCAGAACATGAAAAACGAGCCAGACTTGTACGAGTGAAAAATTGGCTAACTGAGCCAGGTAGGAAGTGTGGGATTCACTGCTGACCACCTGGCGTTCCCTGGCGAGTGCTTAGTTTGCCAATACAGACTGCTCCCACATCCTGCTGGGAATGTCCCATCTGCACGTTGGCCACTAGGTGTGTTTTCCCTTAGCGAATGTGGCCTGGTGGATGTGGCACCAGCTCTTCCCCTTGCCACAGAGGTTTCAGACACTTCCTTCCTGTCAGGGCAGGGCCTGGAGTCCTGGCCTTGGCAGTGCTCTCCGAACCAGCGGGCAGCCGGGGAGCTTGATGCCTGGGCCCACCATGGTCCCTCTCTGGCTGCCTGGGCTGCAGAGGCAGAGCAGCCAGTGAAGCTGTCGTGGTCAGAAGCACTGATGGTCGTTCCCCTTTTTTTGTCGGATATGTTATGGACAAAGCGGGAAATGCCCTGGGCATTGGGTACATCACGTTTTGGCGTGGTACGATGCTGGAAGGGAGCGGTGGAAGGACTGTATCACAGTATCTTTGCCTTCTAATTGCTCTGACTCGTTTGGGTGAGCAGGTGAACCTGTTCCCAATTTTGCAAGTGAGAAATGTTGTAAGATCAAATAAGAAACTCACTTTTCTGCTTCCTGATGTTGGCACCAGCGACTTTCTCAGTCCTGGAGTAAGTTTCCTAACAAGAGTGACTTAAAAGCGCCCTGCGGCTGAAGAAGCACAGGGGCTGGTTTCCAGTTCATCTGGGGGCTGGGTTCCAGTTCATCTGGCAGCGAGCGCCGGCTGCTCAGTGCAGCCCCAGATGAAACTGTGAGAAAAGGCCGTCCCCAGCAGGAAACTCGTGTCAGGGCCCTGGCTCTCGGGAGGAAACACGGAGCGGCGGCACGATAGAGACAGCAGCACCGTGGTGCCTTATTGATCCCTGGCGCAGCGGGAGCAGCAGGAGCTCGTCTTTTTACATGTGGGGAATCTGTACGTAAAGCGGAGGCACTGCACTGGAAACCTTGTAACGTGCTCTGTGGTTGTGAGATATCTCCCTCAGGGTTTCTGCAGCAACTGCTGCCGGGCTGGGCCCTGCTCTGGATGGCTGGGTCTGAGGCCACAGGTTCTCCAAGCATCGCGCTTGGAAGCTGCTCTTATAAAAAGGGTTAAAACAATCCTGCGGACTCCCCAAAGTGACCTTGCTGGTAATGGCCAGGGAGGAGGGTCCCTAGGGTCTCCTGAAAGACGTTTCTCTCCCTGAAAGCAAATCTCTTTTATCTCTTTTAAAGAAAGGAAATTAACATTCAGGCAGAAAACGCTGTCTCTGTCAGCTGAGGATGCCCAGTGAGAGATGGCTTATAAATTAAAGCTTTGATTTGTGAAGGGTAAAACTGTTGTCACAGTCGTGACAGGAAAGTTTGAATCATTTAAATGACTTGTCATTGTGTGCTGCTCTTTACAGATGTTACAAACATACCCAGATGGTCTTTTAATCCTCACCTCCTCCAAAAGAACGTGCTAGAGACAATTATAGTGCTGTGTCAATATTGACCAGTTACATCATCCTCAGCAGTGGGGACTTTGGAGCACGCTTAGGTTTTTTCAGTGCTTCTTTGTGAAGTGGCATTTTTCTTTTGTAAATGTTGTAAGAAATCTGTGGAAACCAAGAAGTATTGCGTTTTTCTCCTGCCAGAACTGCTGGGAGCTTCATGCACAGACAGCTACATCCGTGCCTCTTGAGCTAAAAGAAATCTTTGTTAAATGTCTTGGGGCTGTCTTTCGTGATTACGTATTTATACCATGCCTAGCAAATGGTCCATGTGTTGGATATCCAGGCACGACTGGTACAGAAATCATAAGGAACGGTCATAATCTTGTTGCGCAGTTCTGATTGAGCTGTAACAGGCAGTCACGTGGGTGCACTGTAAACACGCAGAATCTGTTGTGACATTCATTTTACCAGCTAGTTTATCGCTCATGGTTTTTTTTTTTTTCCTTTAATCTTCTGAATGTGACTACTGAATTACAAATCCCTAGTTCCTTTGAGATGCTCTTTCAAATTTTTAAAAGGCACTGTGGTTCTTGGTGAACCTCACCGAAGGGTGGGATGCAAAGACAAGTTCTTCTTCCCATGTACTACCTGACTTGCGTGTAAATTTTATTCATTTCCTCAGAACAGCTTCTGTCTGCCGCTTTCATTTAGGAGGTGGTGGTGGTATTTGACGCCTTACGCAATTTTCTAAAGTAACTGCTGCAAGGTCTTTTAGCCTCAAAAATAGCTTGTGCAATTTAATGAGAGCATTCAAAAATCAGGATGGTTATTGATGAGCTTGAATCCAAAAATATCTGGAAGCGTGAGGCTCCATTTCTTTCTTAGCGTGGCGCGTGGGCTCAAAGTCACACTTAGAATGTGATAGTTGCTGAAGGCTTACCTATGGAGAAGCTATCTTCGCTCCATAATGAGCCTCATATATACATCCACAGGGTTCAAAGCATAGGAACCTAAACTAAATGGGATTTTTTATCAGCTATAGAAGGGCTTTATGTTCAGCCAATAGAGTGGTGCATACTGTTATGTTTCCTAATCCTCCTGCTGCTGAAATCAATAGCCTAAGATTCCTCTGAATATCAACAGGAATAGAAGGGAGCCCCCAACAGCCTACCCAAAGTGTTTGCCTTTTTTCAGATCTAGCTATTGACTGTCCTCTCGAAGACACTTAACAATCTAATAAGGTTAAAAGAATTGTAAAAAGCCACTTCTGTGGATTAGGGAAATAAAAAGAATTGGAAATAAGATTCTGTAAAAGTAGGATGTTTTGATTATTTATAACCTTCACTTGTTGGACAAGTTTTTTTTCAAACCTTATAGAAATATTTAATTCCACCTTATCAGGTTAAATAAATTTTTCAGGAAACAGTATTAACAGCGAGGGTAATCGAAACCCTAACAGAAGAGTTACTGCTTCTCTTAACACTTAATGTTAGTCTTCCCCAATGTACACGTTTGCCCATGAATGTATGTATTTTTTCTGTCTCTGTCTTCAGTTGTTTCAGTGAAGTACCGCTTCATGGAAGCCCCATGAGAAGATCAGCATGTGTATCCCAAGCAGTGCTGCTTCTTCCATCCTCTAACTAACAGTAGACATTGTGCAAGCTGACACGGAAAATACCTTAGTTAATAGTAGGCAATGGGAGAAAGAATGGCCATCTCACAGCAATGTCAGGCTGTAGCTGCTGGGTATCAGGCACATCGGTACAGAGGCAGGGGAAGGGATGCTGCCCGCATAGAGAAGCGTGTGAGTTTGGAGTAGGATCATGGAGAGCTCTGGGGGGAGGAGGGAGTGAATTGCACCTAACCAAGGGTCCCCAAGAGTTGGTTAGGAGGAGTAAGCTCTGAACTTCGGAGTTTTGAATGTTCGGTTAGGTGAAGGAGTCTGGGCATCTAACTGAGGCACCAAGATTGGATGACTAAAGCGAACAGCTATGAATTATCTTTTAAGGGTCATCAGTTGCTGGTGAATATAAAGCCGCTGTAATGTTTTTATCGTTATGTGTGTTTCTAGAAATCGGGCACTGAGCACTTTTTTGTCTGTAAGTAAACCAAACAACGGAGTATGCTGCATTGTTTTGTTTTGTTTTGTTTTGAACAATCTCTGTAGAGTGAGCCAGACTTGGAGAAAGGCTTGGAGATGAGAAAATGGGTCCTGTCAGGAATCCTAGCCAGTGAGGAAACCTACCTGAGCCACCTGGAGGCCCTGCTGCTGGTAAGCGCTAGTGGCAGACACCGTCCTGAACACCAGTACTTGCACTTCTGCTGTTGCTTCGGTTCAAAGATTCCCAGAACTTCGCATACGCTGATTGTCTCTCCGTTGCCCTGTGTGATGGTACCTGTTACCCCAGTTCTTCGGTGGAGAAGGGGAGGCCCAAAGAAAGGACTGGATCTGGCACACCCAGGGTGTTATTGATGTGACAGAATCCAGGAGCCCAGTCTTTCAGTATCCTGTGAAAATTATTAGACAAGCTGCTCTACAGTTGGACAGAGATCAAGGAAACGGAGTGCAAAGGGATTTTAACACACCATTAATATCCTGGGAAAATCCACAAACCAGGGGTGGCTGATCCCTATGAGAGAATTTGTTAACGTCTAGCTTTCAGGAGTTCTGTGAATGCAAATTTTGCTTATTAATAGGATGAAAAACAACTCTTCGGAGGAATATGTTGTAATGTGGCAAGGGTGAATGTACTTGGTTTGCATGGTAACAATTTCCTTGATTCCTTGTTTTAGCCTATGAAGCCTTTGAAAGCAGCTGCCACCACCTCCCAGCCTGTGCTGACTAGTCAGCAGATTGAGACAATATTCTTCAAAGTGCCTGAGCTCTATGAGATCCACAAAGAATTTTACGATGGGCTCTTTCCACGAGTGCAGCAGTGGAGCCACCAGCAGCGTGTAGGAGACCTCTTCCAAAAGCTGGTGAGTCAGCTACCATCACCAAAGCTTCTGTTACCTCTCATTCATTTCACAGGTATTGCTGCAATTCCCTTCAGTGACTTTGCATAGACTGAAGGGATGAAAGTTGGATGAGAGAGCAGGCTTCCAGCTTTGCCTCACTGCAGTGAAGGGCATGCACTCCAAAAGCAGCTGTTTCATTGCCTTTAATTAAAGACTCCAGCGAGACTAGGCCGGTAGTACAAACGTAGTTTTACGGAAAGGTTGAATCTCCAGGGTGTCTGCAGTGTCATCAAACCATTTGCTTAAGAGGAAGATGGGAGTTTGGCAGTGTTAAAAAGGGTGCTTTTTGATACTGACAGCTAAACGTTTTTCCTTATTGCTGAGCTCCCTGACACACGTCCCTTCTTTCTGTGGTGCTTCGTTCTACCTTGCGCTACTTTTCTCTCTTATGCTCATCACCTTTGGGGTTGCTTTTCTACCACCATCTTGGCCTTGATGTTCCTCGTGCTGCTATGCTGATGCAGTGCACCTTCTGCTGAGACTCCTCCAAGCAATCGCAACGAAATCCTCTGAGTGCAGAGCAAGACATAGACATATAAAGCATCTCCCCAAAGCTGAATTAAAATTGCTGAGTTTCTGAGCCAGATGACAAATTGTTTGCGTTCTAGGAGATTCCTTTGGCCCCCTTAGCCTCTCCCCTAGCGTGTGCAGAAAGCAAAGGATTAAAGGAGCTGCTTTTTCCTTTTAGAAAAGAAAAGAATCTCTGCATTCCTGAGGTGCCTCTGATTCTTGGGATAGGAGTGACATTCCAGTGAGGGGTTTATTGGATGGGGAGTGCATTTTATCAGGGTCACTCAATTGTTAGCAGCTGTGTAGCCCAGCACCAGCCGCGTCCCCTATAGAGGGGGAGATGGGCTGGGAGGATGATGTTTTCCATGTGTAGCAGCACCTCAAGATCAAACTATGAGAGTCTGCTTTTCACTGCCAGCATATTTTAGTCAGGAGGGGGTCAAGCTGGTGCCTTAGTGAGTAGCTCATGGTATGCAATTTGAGCAACCAATTTACAACGACAAAGCCACCTGCTCCTGGTTGCTGAAGCCAAGATGCAGAAGACTGCTGAAAGTGGAAGCTTGACAAACTGCATCGAAAGGGTAGTGCAGTGAGGAAGGTAGCACTAATTGAGGAAGAGCTTCTGCATTTTTAACAAAAATGATAATTTTGTTGGATTAGTATTGGAAGCAAAGAAGCAAATAGCCTTAGTGCCAGAAGTTCTGAGCTAACCTAGCAGTCTGTTTCTAGTGGTTTGGTTACAGTATCAAGGGGAATTGTGGATTTTTTGCTGGATGAGATAGAGCTAATCATTCTTGGCAGGCAGTTGGAAGCAGCTAGATGTGAGAGACAGCAAGCATTAGAAGACAACTAGACAGGATGTACATCAAATCTTTTGGAGCAGACTTGTTCACTTGTGGTCATGTCATGCAACCTGATGCTAAACACTGGAATCCTTGTTACGATCCTGAGGTCCCTGGGGATATTAATTTTCTTTAATATCTGGTAAAACAAAGCGCTGTAGATTGAAGCTAAAGACAGCGCATGCAAGGCGTTTTAGAGCTTCATGTGGTCTTCCACACAGGAAGACCTGTTTGTAGCATCTGGGACAGTCCACGTTTTTCCAGTTGAAACTAAGGCAAGTGAAGGATGGACCATACCAGGAGTGGAGTGAAATATGCTTCTCATTTTTGTGGAATATTTTTTAAAAATAAATGTATTTTTTATAATTGGAAAAAAAAACACTTTAGAACTTTTTAGGAGTAAGGAAATATTTAACAAAACAAAAAATATTATCACTGATAGTTTTCAGAAATGGCAAATAATTTTTTAACTGAAAGTGAATTTTTTTTTTTTTACCAAAGCTTTTTTGATTTTCCGGGTGTTCTTTGTAAATGAGAAAGGAAAAACTTAAGTCAGCACTAAAATTCTTTGTGAGCGTTTTGCTTTGATTGGAAGCTCCTTTTTTAATGGAAAAAAAATGTTTTTGTAACAGCATGCTTAGAAGAGGAAAAAGAAAGCTTAAATAGACTATTTAGGAGTACTAGGAAATGAAAGAACCACACAGGAATGGAGAAGCTCTGCTGTGTTGGCTGGCATCATCTGAACGCGAATGTCGTAAGCCCTGCAAATGAGCAGCAATTCTGACAGCAGCTTCTTCAGGGAATGGTGCCCCATGGCAGCTACAGATTTCATTCTCTCCACTCTGCTGGGGCCAGATCATCCCAGGCATAAGTGAGCACAGTTTCCTTTGACTTCAGTCCTAACCATGTCATTTTGCGTGAGGATTGAGATTGGTTCCTAGTATTTCAGTAGAATATGTCCTAGGAAATAGCTCGCTGTTTCTTTACCTCTCCTAGCTAAAGAAATCGTGCAGGGAACGTTCTCTTGAGAGTGGCTTTTTCGCTCCTGTCGTCTCTTGGCCAAAGCTCCGTAGAGAACGGAGAACGCAATTATGAGAGAGCAGGAGAGGGAAAGGGCGCTGTCTGTGGGGGAGCTCGCAGCTCTGTCTGTTGTACCTCTTGGGCAGAAGCGGCAGGGGAGCTGCAAAAATGATAAGGTAAGTGCAAGCTCTTCTGGTAACAAACTTGGTTTTAGTGGAGTCCTTTACAGCACTCCATCTGTTGGCTCGCTCTTGAGCGTGCGCTTGCAAGCACGTTGAAGCTGCTGAGATGTTTACAGCGCAGCCTGTGCAGCTCTGCAACACAAAAACTGCTCTGCAATCCAGACGAGCTTGGAAGCTTCCCAGGGATTTCCCAAGCTGGATCTTATGTTCTCTGGCATGAATATGGCTGCAATTCGTAAGTCAGCAAACAGGATCAGTGCTAAGACCAAGTGATTAATAATGGCTTATTATTACCGGACTCTGAGGCCTGCTGTATCTTCCTCTGAACCAACTGCATATTCCTTCTGCTTGAAAAGCCGTGCCGTTTTCTGTCACCTGGTGCTGCGGCCGCTGCCTTCCAAAACAGACCGTGCTCCGCATCTCCCTTCTGTATTTTCAGCACTCAGTTGCCCTTATAATGATGTTTGCTAATGGAGATACACGTTAACACCTGGGTTCGTTTTAGTGTATCCTCCATGCACACAGAAGCCAACAAGTAGCTTGGTGGGGTCACGTTTGTGCTGTTTGGGCTAAATCATTCCTGTCTGATTCATATTTTGTTGCAAATAACCAGCAGCTCCTATTACATCCATGAGCTAAAATATTAACAGATATTAATCTGGCAGTGTAGAAGGGAAAAATAGATGGCAGTAATAAGGATGCGTCATCCTCCCGGGCCAGTAAGTGAACTTGCTCAGGGTAGAGGGAGCTGGATGCATGGCAGCACCTGCTCTGGTTAAGCAAAGCTGCCGGGCCAGCGGTGTGTTTCTGGCCCTGTTCAGGGTTCCCTGGGGTTCTTTGCGTTGAAGGAACATGGATGGCCTCATCATGAGATACTCAGGCTGGCTCTCCCAAACTGTCTTCCTCCCCTAGCGTTTATTTTGTTTTGGTTTGCTTCCTGCAGGCCAGCCAGCTGGGAGTGTACCGGGCCTTTGTGGATAACTATGAAGTTGCTATGGAGACGGCAGAGAAATGCTGCCAAGCCAATGCTCAGTTTGCTGAAATCTCTGAGGTAATGTCACGGTATTCAGACGCAGGAGCCGGCTGGATCTGACTAACACCCTGCGGTGTCACTCCCGTCTGTCCTCCAAGTATCTGACTTCCAGAGGAGCTGGGAGCTCCCGTAGACTCGTTGCTTCAGCCCAGCTTCTTGCTGTGACTCCTACTTTTGGGCTCGTAGGGGTTATCCCGTAGGCAGCCCTTGTGCTTTCCCCCCAGGGAACCTTGCTGTAACAGCTAGCACTGCTTTGAACTTCCCAGCACCGTGCCACCTTTGTGCGTTCCTAGAAAAGGTGGTTGTATTTATATGAGCTTCTCCCATATTTCTCTGGCTAACGCTGATGCTGACCGCGATGTAAAAGGCCCCCCTTAATGGCTGGCGTTACGTCTGTCAGTGGAACTGCAGGCCTCATTGGCTTGGGGAGCAGGAGGGGGTAGCTCCGCAAAGCCTTCTGTTTAAAATTGCCAATGTGTCGAGCATAATCTTTAAGGTTATGTATTGGACTGCTCTGATTTCCTCCCTTTGAGTGGAGCACTTTGTGTCAAAGCATTTTGAAAGCTTTCTCAGGCTTCCCAGGCCACCGGCTCTGCCTGCGGTGCGTTGTAATGATTATATCTTGAAGAGTTCAGCTGCCAAGAAAACATGAACTTCAGATGTGTGCTCTTAAAAACAAGGAGATAAATAATCAGAGCTGAATAATACTGGGGGCGTTTATTGCTTTAAAAAAGCTACCGAGTACACACAATATTGCACATCCCTTTAGATTTTCCTGATGAAGAGGTAAAATAAAACGTTTCCTCTGTGCTCAGAAACGAGGCCTGCCTGTTGGCATCTGCTGGGCTACTCCAGAGAGTGCAGGTGTCTCCTGTTGTCTCCTCTCCTGAGGGTTTCCCCTAGGTTCTGGTCCTTTGCCTGGCCACGTCTGTCCTCTAGAGGTATCAGCTCATTAGGAAAGTAGCTTCCCCCATGCTTACTTCTCTTTTAGTATTAAAATGCATCCTGTGGACTTTCCCATTTATTAATAATAATAATATATCAATGGTATTATAGTAGCCCCTAGGCGACAGATTGGAGATTAAGGCCCCAGGGATGCTCTATGCAAAGGTGATCCCCCTGGATTTTGCTGTTCCCTGAAGGATAATCTGAAATCATGATAGTATCTACTGTTTTTGGAGTGGTGGTACTTTTGCGTTTGTGTCTGTGTCCTGCTGAGGACTTTAGAGCACCCTCAGCACATTAATGCACATAGCCTCCTGGTGCCTGTGCAAAGCAGAAAGTCACAGGTGCTGTTCCTTCTCTGCCATGGACAGAAAACTGGCTTGTCCAAGGTCACCTAGCTCTGGGCACGTGCATAGGGAAGCGTAACCTCAGGGTCCTGACTCCCAGTCGCGTGCTTCATTTATTGGTGGTGGGCACATGCTATGACAATGGCTGGGCCTTTATGGACATGCCTTTCTCTGCAGGTTATTAAAAACTCCACCATCCCCATGTAGATGGTTCCCTGCTTTGCTGAATCTCTGTTGGCATGCACTCCTAAGAAACTCGCTTAATATTTGAGATGCGTGAGTGCCTGTGACATGGCAATGATGGAGTTACCAGAAGAAAAGCTCGTTTTTCCTTCACTGACTTGGACTGTGATAGGGCTTTCGTCCATGCTGGCTTAGGCGCTCCCTTGGAGGAGAAGAGAATCTCTTACGTTCCCATGTGATGTTTCAAGGTGATTGACGGTCTGCTACGTGGGTTTTCTTTTTCTTTTAGAATCTAAAGGCTAGAAGCACAAAGGATTCTAAAGATCAGACGACGAAAAATTCCTTGGAAAGTGAGTGATCCATGCAGAGGAGTCTGTGGTTTGTCAGGACTGTGTGGGGGCTGTTGCCAAAACCTCCACGCTCCCTTTGTCTTTTTAAATGCTGGAAGGTTATGCAGTCTCTTCTGGCCCTACCTGGGAAAGCAGCTCCCGTTTGCTAAGTAGCAGAGCTGTGCATAGTAAGCTGCATGCATGCATGGGGAAGCCCCTGCCTAGCTTAAAACCTGATCAGTCCCTTTGGGCAATAACAGGCTAATCAAAGGATTGCCATGATCTTAGGAGAACATCTACTATCCAGTGGTAGTGCAAATGTCAGCCTGAAAGTAATTCTTATGTTTTTTTTTTTCCTTGTGGTAGCATCTAGAGAGCCTGGCTGAGATCAGGTTCCGTTGTGCCTGTCTTTATATAGGCACATAGTAAAAGATAAACCATGTTCCAAGGAGCTTCCTTACTGACTAATATGAAAGCCAATCCTGTTCCTTTTTTGGCCTGTAATCAGGTTTTAGAAGCACCCAAGTGTCATGCTGAACTGCAGAAGGCCGGGATGCACTGCCAACCTTTCAGGAACCTCCATGGCAACTTTGAAAGCACAAGGCCCAATTCTGACCTGTGGGAGCAGGCAGGGTGCCAGGGAACTGCTGGAAGTGTGCTGTGCTGTGTGCAGTTCTTCCCTGCCACTTCGTGTGCTCCTCATGTGCTGTCTGACAGGGTGTGCTCGCAAGTCATCTGTTTGCCGTAGAGAAAGTTTGTTTCCTCTGTGTGTTCGTGCGTGTTTTATTGCCTGTGTAGCATGTTAACTTTAGAGAAAGGAATTTCCTAGTAGCTCATTAGTAACAAACCTGTGCCTGTACATTCAGTTGCCTTGGACAGGTTGCTCTGTAGGGCTGTATTTAGGTGGCTACTTTTCTCATGTTCCTGCTGCTTTTCTTCACAGCTCTGTTATACAAGCCAGTGGATCGAGTGACACGCAGCACACTAGTCCTGCATGTAAGTACCTGAAGGGTAATTTTCAAACTCTAGGCCCCTTCCCTGTTTTCTTCTCTCTCCAAATTTTCTGTGGAGGTGCAGGACTGCAAAAATTGAGCTGTAATGTGGCATGTGAACCTCTTCTCGTTACACTGAGGAGAGGAAGTCCATGGCTAGGACCCTGGGTACCTCTCCAGTGGTGTTACTGAGAAGTGCAGGGTATGGTCCTCTTTCTCTGTGGAGGCAACCTTACTCTAATCTGTAAGAGAAGGCTGGAGCAACTTGTCCCAAAGATCTCGTTAGAGGACCTCAGACCCTTCTCCTTTCCAGTGCTGGTTACGATGCTGTTCTTTGTTTGTATTCCCGCTGGCAGGATTTGCTGAAGCACACTCCAGTGACCCACCCTGACCATCCCCTTCTGCAGGATGCTCTGCGGATCTCGCAGAATTTCCTCTCCAGCATCAACGAGGAGATCACTCCCCGACGGCAGTCCATGACCGTGAAGAAGGGGGAGGTGAGTCTTCCTGCGTTAGTTATTTTGTCGGTTCCTAAATACTGGTTGTGCCTTTCTGTGGAGTGGACTAGGAACGTACGCTATTCTTTTTTTTGTTGCTAAGATACAGTTTACGCAGTGTCCTTGTTCTCTAAAGGATGTAGTGCAGCTCTCCTCTGTTTTCTGCTTGGAAAACTCTTTGGAAACCCAGAGGAAAAGTAGGTTTAGAATTTTGTCCTCAGCATTGTTAGAATTATTTGTCATGCATCATCGCTGTGATACATATTCATATTCCTATGCACATGGAAGGATTTATGTTTTACCTACGAACTGAAACCAAACAGGAGGCCCTGGAGGAGAAAAAGGGAAGGATACATCTTTTCAGATGATCACAAGAGATTAGGGAAAAGCAACCACCCTAGCAGTTTTCTGAAATCTTCATTCTCACCATGAAATTAATTTTGTGTATGCTTATTTCTGAAGACTAAGGTTGTAAACGGAAGTAGGAAGCAAAACAAATGGACTAGGCTGGGAAAGTTAAGGGAGGAGCCTAACTCCTAAGAGTGTGATACAACTCCTCCCAGCTCTGTTAGAAGTTGGGCTAGGCACAGAAAGTGCTAAAATGTGCCGTTCCCTTACCTGCAGTTCCCTTACCTGGTGGTGCGTAGGGAAA